ATGAGGCCGGCAAGGATATAGGCGAGGATGTAGACATACTCAAACATGATTCCGGCTGACTTTGCATTTGGGATATGACCATCACTGCAGATACTAGGAGGCAAAACATAACATCGATAGGGCAACGACGATGGTGGCCCAGAAGAAAACAGGAAGGTTACTGATAAGGATGAAACAAGTTACGATGAAAGAGATATAGAAGGCTCCAATGTTCGGAATGAAGAACCAGAGGAATTTTTCTGTACTCAGCACGATGATCCTGCAGCGTATGAATCCTTTCCCGTATTCCCTTGAATTGTTCGGTACTCGGTTTTCTGGAACCCGAGTGGATTTCCATGGCGGCAGACGTGTTGTCTTTCGTGTTTGTTTGAAAAACACCACCCGGAGGGCTTAAGGCGGCGGCGTAAGTGGCGTTAGAATCAACACTGTTACTACTACCAAAGCATTGCTTGTCTCACTTGACATGTTCCTAGATTCATATGCTAATTGACTCACTTAGTCGCAAATACACCAAAACATTGTCCGAAAAATGCTTATACTCTGAGCACGCCGTAGAATTTTCAGACATTCTTTGCTTTCCTTTCATTACCGGCTTGTTCTAAGATTTCCATTGCAGTTAATTGTTCGAATTCTTCGATTTTATGTCGATCCTGCTTAGTGTCAACAGCCTGAGAATCTGCATTGGAAAACAAAGCAAAATACATTGCACAAATGACAGTAAAAAATAAGTGTCTGATTGAGATTTTTGTTATACTTTCTGTTGTTTTTTATTTGCTGCTATGTGTATGACAGTGTCGCCATTCATGTTCTTAAAGTTGAGAAGTTTCTTAATCCGCGATGGGCTGCAATCACTGCTCAATAGGCTCCACCGTAGAACATGAAAAGCTTTTAAATTGTTTTCCTGCGCTGCTAGATGTAGGGCGGTGTCATTTTGATTCGTCACGTCGTGGATGCATTCAGGACAATCCTTGAGAATTCTCCTCAAAAGTCTCAGATGATCGACACTGTCACCCATCGTAACAGCGAGATGGAACGGAGTGTAACCATTCTTCCCCTTGACACGAGCAAGATCTTTGCTGAACTCGAACAGCGAGAATGCCGCCTCAACATTCCCGTTTTTAAAGCAAGGTGAAGGGGACTCCACCCGTCTTGGTTCAGCTTCTTGGCCAATGATGGCTTCAACCCCAGCAACTCCATTGCAAACTCTGTTCGCCTCGACGCCGCTGCTACGTGTAAGGGAGTATCATAAAACTCCCTTAGTTCTACCTCGTGCAGAAAATGGTTTCTCCCGAATAAGTTCATACAACGCCTCGATAACACCGATTCTAGCGGCTTCTCGAGCTCTTTCTTCCAATGTAGATGGATCAATTACGATGCTAAAATTCTCTGCCATGGGAAAACAAAAAAAGAATTGAAATTTTCAAACATTCGAACATGTTCTTATCTTCGTTTTCAATTAAGAGATCCTCATAAATTTGCAGCAATGCTACACTTTTTGTGTAAAGCGTGGGAGAGGTTTGGTTTAATTTCATTCTATGTTGCACTGATACGGATACGGGGACGGATATGGGGATAATACGAAAACGTGAAAGATAATTTTCAATATGACATTGTACGAGTACGATGCGAGTACGTAAATATAAGTAAATTTTAAAATTCTTAATTATTACAAAATCACATATTAGATCATATTCAATTTTTACTTGCACTATATTAAAACAAATATATCTTGAGCTTATGACATCCATTGAGACGTTTCAAGATGCGTTAGAAATGTAGTTGAAAGACAGTTCATTCGTAAGAAGACATCTCAATCCAGAAACACCTAAATCCCATTCGAAAATTCATCGTAAGTAACATGATATTTCAGATTTTTAAAATCAATCTCAATTTCTTATTCAAAATATTTTTATTTTTATTTTTTTAAGTTAAATCTCAAAAATAATTCTAGGTACGCGTATGAAGATCAAACGTCGTCTTCGATATGTCTTCAAAATTCTCTCCGACACACTCAATTAATTCTAGCCGTATCCATTCAACATGGACGTCATCGATACGTACACAAATTATACCCGTTCAGTACATATCTCAAGGACGTATTGAATACTTGAAACAGCATTAAGTAGTCGTACCCGTGCAACATAGGCTTCAATCCATTTTCTTTCATTGTTCTTCTCTCACACATTTCCCTCCCACTTTATCTTGTTTGCCAACCATCACTTTTTCCTTTTAGCTTTATTCAATGGGAAGATTCAAAGACAAAATACGCAAAGAATTTGAGTTCTGAAGGTCCCCAATCGGTCTCAGTAGTCGTATGATTCTTTTCCATATTCTAGATTGAAATATTTAAAGTTTAAGAACCAATTTAAAATGATAATCATAATTTAAAGATGTATGATGCAATTAACTCTAATAATAATAGAAAATGTTTCATTTACATATCACAAGCAGACACATTACAAACCTGATGTAATATATGTATAAAAAAAAATTAACAGTTGATAACACATATATACTATGCAAACACAGCTGCTCAATCCTAAGGCTTCTAAAAAGAACAATATTTACTTTAACCATCGAGACACCGAGATCACTTAATGTGTTCGATTAATTGCAAATATAAAAAGATACGAAGTTGCAAAATCTAGTGTGCTGCTTTATGCAGAATCGACACAGATGAAAGAATAACCACCATCCTATTAATTCTATAGGGTACATGATAAAGTTTATGGGGTTAAAATCATCATCATCGTGTGTATCAACGATGGCATAAACAGTAAACAATAAACTATAACCTCCAACTAGAATGGTTCCTTTCCAGAATTCATCATAGAGAAAGTGGAGTAACAGTACTTGAATTACATCACCACCTGAAAAGTAAAAAGGTAACATCCAACATCCCAAGATCGAAACACTGAATTTCGACACTCGATGCGTGATACACATGAACACCATTAACATGAAAACAATGGAGGAAAAGATATGGATTGGTAATGCTAAAGAGGATGGGGTTATGAAAGATATCGACTGGTCAAAGCACGCCGCTAGGAACGCGAGTAGTATTTGAATTGCCGTCCTGAAACCACTTGGAAAATTTAAGCTGTGCGAGTGTTAGGAAAAAGGTTACGATGAACACGATGTAGGTTGGAATGAAGAAAAGAAGGAACTTGGGTGGATCCATGACAGATCTCCCGAGTTTCTTTGAGGCGTTTCCACCTTGCCAAACACCACCAGGTGGTCTAAGACTGGCTTGGTAGGTTGCTGCCAGAAGCAATCCTAGGATTACCAGTAAGGCACTGCGGTCCTCGCCTGATATATTATCTATATCGTGAAAAATCATTGACGATGCTTTTGTCACATGCTTGACGATTTGTTTCTCCAACTTACATTTGATGTTTGAAACTAGTGGAATCAAACTACTACGCAGAAGAGTAATGTTTCCTTTGTTGTTATGTTGCTGTGCAACATCCAGCGTGGTTAAACCAGCTTGATTAGTGGCATGCTTATCAGCCTTGCAGATTAATAGTAATTTCAGCAGCTATTTCATTGACAGTTTGAGATATTAGAATCATTTAATCATGTCTATGAAATACAAAAGAATCTACTCCATGCAATACCTAAGTGCAACGCGGTGTTACCGTCTTCGTCCTTCCGATTCACCACTTCTCGACGATAATCTTTCTTCCTAAGCATTCTGGTGAGGATTCGGAGAACATCCTGTCTTTCATTATCTACCGCTATATGCAAAGCAGTTCGATTTTCAGTCGTAACATCCAGGATACTATCAGGGCAAGCCTCTAGAAGTCTATCCAGAAAGCCGTCATGGTCTCCTACTATACAAATGTAGTGCAGAGGAGTCTCACCGTTCTTCTCCTTGACGTGAGCAAGATCGGTATCGATTTCCAAGAGGCGTAGCGTCATCTCTTTATGCCCTTTCTGGACGGCGAGGTGAATGGGGCTCAAACCTTGTTGGTTTAGCTTCCTAGCAAATGATGGCTTTAAGCTGATCATCTCCATTGCAAAGAGCATGCAGCCTTCTTCTGCACCTATATGTAATGGAGTTTCGATAAACTCCACCTCATCCAAGCGCCTCAAAACATTCCCATTTCTCTGAATTAATGTATACAAATCACTAACGTTTCCTTTACGAGCAGCACTTCTCAAGCTTTCATCCATGTCGGGAGGTATGATCAACTGACAATAGGGAGAGAGAAATTGAAAGGGTTCAAGGCCACCAACAGCGAATGATTGAAAGATTAAGAGGAAGCTGTTTGTTTCATTGAAATTGTTAGTATTAATTTTTGAATTAAAGTAAGCTGTTGGTATGTTCATAGTCAAATGTTTATGAACATAGTGTAGACAAGGGAACCATGTAGATGAAAAATAAGTGTCTCTTTCTTTCTTCTTTCTTTTATCAAAGTGGAAGGATTTACCATAAATCAAGCATTAGAGTCATGATTATAAAATATTTTGATTTACTTTAATAATTCTTTAATTTTTTTTAGTGCTAATAGACAGCGTCAGGATGGATTGAGGGGGCACACGATCGACTTGGTAAATTTTAACATGAATTCAATTATCCAAATTGATTTATTTGATTCAATTATCCAGCATAATTGTTTGGGTTTAGATTCTGGATTTTATTTTGGTCAATCATGTTAAAGATGTTTTTTATGTAATGTAGCTGATTTGGAGGTTATGATACCTCTGCATCTGTAGGATACAAATTCCTCGGAGACTTGGGTTGGAAAAGAGCTGGCAGTTTTCTACGATTACTCCGAAGGTATACCAAACTTGAAAGCTATGCTATAAGAAGCATAATTGTGTGGAAAATCTCCTAGAGAATCAAATGGAAATTATTTTAAAGAGAGAAAGAAAAACACTGAATCAAGGAAAAGTTGAATCCAAAAGAAACAATCAAAACCTCATTGATGAATTAATGGAGACAAAATGGATTTAGACGAACATTGATTTGATTGTTTTCTTTTGTACAAAGAAAATCACACTCTATGGATCAGAAACCAGTTTATGCAGAATCTGCATAGACTACGGAACAGCCAGCATCCTCCAAATGGTATACAATTTGTAAACCTGGGAATACCATGCCATGCGATTGCAGGCATGGTAGTGGATAAAGAATATACTACAAGTATAATTGTTCCTTCCCAGAATTCATCATATAGGAACAAGAATAACCAACATCCCTGAATTATATTTCCTAAAACTATATCTCCACCATGAATGATGAACAATAAATATACAGGGGAGAACCAAAACGCTAAAATTCCGGCACTAAGTTTTGACATCGGATACGTACGTAACATGAACACGGTTGAAATAAAGACCGTTACCGGAAATATAATCATAACATGATGTGCTAATCTGGTGGGTGCAATGTACTTTATTGATAGGTCGAAGCATACTGCGAAAACAGCAAGTAGTACTTGAAGTGCTGTCCTGAACCCATGGGGAAAAGGTTTGAGCAGGGTTAGTGTAAGGAAGAAAGTCACAATGAACACAACGTAGGTCGGAAAATAGAAAATAAAAAAAGATATATCATCTAAGACTGATGTCCCGGGCACCGTTTGATCGTATGACCCTTTGTACTTTGAGGTATTGTCACCCTGCCAAATGCCACCAGGTGGGCTAAGAGCGGCTTGGTATGTTGCAGTTAGAAGCAGTGCTAAAATTACTAGCAAGGCATTGCGGTCGTCGCTCGATATATTATCCATATCGTGAAAAATCAACGATGATGCTTTCTTCGCATACTTAAGGAGTTGTTTCTCCGACTTACATTTTATTTTTGAAATTACCGGAATAAAACAACCCTGCAGAAGAGTAATGCATTCTCTATTATCATGTTGTTGTGCAATTCTCACTGCCGTCAGACCATCTTGATTGGTGGCATGCTTATCAGCCTTGCAGTTTAATAGTAATTGAAGCATCTGTTTAATTCACAGTTTAAGACATAAAAAAGAGGGAATCATTTAATTATGTACGAAATAATGTGTGATACTAATCATTAAATTGGATGAGCCAAACCTGGAGTTGATTATTGCTAGCGGCCAAGTGCAGTGCAGTATTTCCGTCTTCGTCCTTTTGATTCACCACTTTGTGGTGATAGTCTTCTTCCTGAGTGTTTCGATTAGGACTTGGAGAACATCCAATCTTTTGTTTTCCACTGCTATGTGCAAGGCAGTACGATTTCGAGTCATAACATTCAGGATACTATCAGGGCAAGCCTCTAGAAATCTATCCAGCAAGCCGTCATGGTTTCCGACTTTACTAATGTAGTGTAGAGGAGTCTCTCCCTTCTTCCCTTTGACGTGAGCAAGATTGCTATCGATTTCCAAGAGAAGTAGCATCATCACTTTATGCCTTTTCTCGACGGCAATGTGGAGGGGGCTCAAACCTTGTTGGTTTAGATTCCTAGCGAATGATAGCTTTAAGTTGATCATCTCCATTGCAAACTGCATGCAACTGTTGAATCAAAATAGAGTAAAAACTCTAATTGATCGAAAAGAAAAAAAACTCTCTTTAGAATAATCTCACAAAATTGCAAAAGGGAAGAACTCTTAAGAAAGCTTTCAAATGCTTATAATTAAGTTTTGATTGTTGGATGATAAAACTCAAATACAAGTAGGGTATTTATAGGTTACAAGAAATAATCTAAACCACTCATTAAAATAAGCACTAAATAATCCAAACCATTGAAATTAAAACATGAGAAAAATATTTAATTTTCACCTAACTAATTTGATGTAACAATGACATCAAAACTAAATTGATGTAAGCAATGACATCAAATTAATTTAGGTGTGAACTTATTTAGGCTAATATTGAATTTTCAACACTCCCCCTCAATGTTAGCCTCCATTCTTTGAATCACGCCATGCTGACGACAGAAATGCTCAAACTTTCAAACACTCAAGTTTTTTGTAAACAAGTCAACAATTTGCTCATCTGTCTTGATTTGCCTCATCTCAATCTCTTCTTGCAAAACTTTTTCCCTAACAAAGTGGTAATGTACTTCCACATGTTTAGTTCTTGCATGAAAAACAAGATTCTCCGCCAGTCGAATTGCCGATTGGTTATCACAGTACAAAGGAATTGCATAATCTACTGGTTGATTTAGATTATTCATCAACTGTATCAAACATACTTTCTTGAGCTGCCATTGGTGCTGCTCGATACTCAACTTCAGGGGTTGACAATGATACCATTGGTTGTCTCTTGCTACACCAAGAATTTGTTCCGGAGCCAAGCTTAAACACATACCCAGTTGTTGATCTCCTGGTGTCATGATCTCCTGCATAATCATCATCACAATAACCAACTAACTTGTAGTATTCACCTTTCTTGTACAAAAGATCATAATCAATTGTACTCTTCACATATCTCAGTATTCGTCGAACTGCTTCCAAATGAGGCTTCTTTAGATTTTGCATATACCGACTCATCACACCAACTGCATAAGAAATGTCAGGTCGGGTCAAGGTTAAGTAGATCAGACTACCTATCAATTGTCGATACATTATTGCATCTTCCAAATCTTTTCCTTCATGTGCACACATTTTGACATTTGGTTCCATTGGCATTGAAATTGACTTGCATTCGAGCATTCCAAACCTCTTCAACAAATCTTTAGCATATTTCTGTTGACATAGAAATATTCCTTCGTGTGTGCGATCAACCTCTAGACCAAGGAAGTGCTTAAGTTGTCCAAGTTCCTTCATCTGAAAACGAACTGATAAATTCTCCTTTGTCTGAAGAATTTCTGCCTCATCATCACCGGTTATGATTAAGTCATCCACGTACACTAGCACGATAGCTAGCTTACCTTCATTGACTTTCACAAACAAGCTAGAATCTGCAGGTGTTACTGAATAACCACTTTTCGTTAAAAATTCAGCAATCTTACCATACCACGCCCTAGGTGCTTGTTTCAATCTGTAGAGTGCTTTTCGCAGCTTACACACATACTCAGGATGATCTTGACTCTGAAAATCCATTGGTTGGGTCATGTAGATCTCTTGATCTAGCTCTCAATGAAGAAAAGCATTCTTCACATCCATCTGCCATAAATTCCAGTCTTTGTTGGCTGCAAGTGCAAGTAGGACTCGTACGGTTGTAAGTTTTGCCACTGGACTAAATGTTTCATCATAGTCCAGTCCATACTGTTGAGAGAAACCACGAGCTACCAATTGTGCCTTGTAACTCTCGATTGACCCATCTGGACAACGTTTTATCTTGTAAACCATTTACAAGATATGGGTTTCATATCTTTTATCTTTGGCACAAGATCTCAAGTTTGATTTTGTTGAAGTGCATCGATCTCTACTTTCATAGTTGTCATCCACTCAGAACTCTGTGATGCTTATTCGAACGTCTCAGGCTCTGTTACTTCTTCAATTATGGCTGCATTGGCATATTTAGGATTTGGCCTTCGTATTCTTGTTGACCTTCGATTGATATTGTGGAATTGATTCTTCTGTTTCACTAGGCCCACCTTCTTCATTTGGTTGTTGATACACGCCAGTTTGCCAAGGATTCTGAGTCACTCTTTGTTCGACGTCATCGTCATTTGGATCTTCTGATTCATCTGAACTTGTTTGGAGTTGAACAGCATGCTCCCCCATATTTTGTTATAGCTTGTCTCCAAATTCTCTCGAATCTGGCAACACCTCCTTCTCTGAGACCACCAAGAAGATGTTTCATCAAATACCACATTTCGTGACGTGTAGCATTTCCACTAATTGGATCACAATATTTCCACCCCTTTTCTGGCTTTCATATCCCACAAAGATACATCTAACAACTTTCTTGTCAAATTTGCTCTGTAAATGATCAAGAACAAAAACATAACATACACAACCAAATATTCGAAAGTAACTAACTGTAGGTTTTATGTTCCATAATTTCTCAAAGGGTGAAACAAATCCTAACCTTGGTTGAGGAAGTCTGTTGATCACAAAGGCTGCAGTCCTCATTGCTTCAGCCTAAAACCTTCTAGGTACGTTCTTTGCATGTAGCATACTTCGACAAATTTCTGCAAGATGCCGGTTTTTTCTTTCTGCTACACCATTCTGTTGTGGCGTGTTGGCACAAGTGTACTGATGACGTATTCGACATTCCCTTAGGTGTTGAGAGAACTCGTTTGATCTATATTCTCCTCCGTTATCTTGTGCAAGCAACATATCTTCTTTCCCACTTCTCCTTCAGCTGAGTCTCTAAACTCTTTAAACTTTGAGAATGTGTAAGATTTTTCTTTCATAAAGAAAACCCACGCATACCTGGAGAAATCATCAATGAATGTTACCATGTACGCATACCGCTAATTGACTGTTGCTTAACTGGTCTGAACACATCAGAGTGAACCAACTCCAACGGTTCTTTTGCTTTAAACTTCGACTCGTCATATGGTAATTGGTGTGCTTTACCATATTGGCATCCCGCACAGACCGTGTCTGTTCTCACGTCTAGTTGAGGAAGCCCTTAAGCATCGACTTCTTCACCATCACACTTAGCTTGGAATAGCTAACGTGACCTAACCGCATGTGCCATAGATCTGATGTTTCATTTTTCCTTGTCCTGTCTACATATGCAGACTCTGTTGACATCACGTAAATTGACTCCAAAAGTCGTCCCTCCATTGTTGGTGTTTCTGAGATTTTGACATCACGATAATCCTTTACATCTTGGGGACCAAATAAGACATAATGGCCTGATGATGTTAGTTGAGCCACAAATAACAAATTTTTCTTCATTCCTGGGACATGATAAACATCTTGAAATTGCACCTGGTTAGTATTATATCGAGGCGTAACTATTGTCTTACCAATGTGAGTTATCGGTAACCTTGAGTTGTCAGCTGTCACCACCACACGACCTCCATTGTATTCAGACAGGTTTTGTAACTTCTGTTTGTCACCCGTCATATGATTTGAGCAGCCCGAATCTACGATCCAGTTATTCTTGTAGTCAATTCGTTCTGGTGTTATTTCCGTGAGAGCAAATTCTTCTTCCTCCTTAGCAAATACCGCTTCAGCATCCCAACCATCTTCACTATTCTCCTTCGAACTGGAAGTAGTAGTATTACTTTCAACAGGCTTTTTCTTGGTCCAATAGTCTTTTGCCACGTGGCCCATTTTCCCACAATTGTAACACTTGCCATCGAACTATCTACTATTACCATGATTCTTAGAAGCTCCCCCTGAATGGGGGCCTCTCTTTCCTTGGTAATTTTTCACCTTGTCACCGTCCTTTTTAGATCCACTGGCAGTATACCGCTGAAAAGTGCACCTGTTTTTGCTGGTGTAGTGCGCTTCCTCTTCACCCTTCAGCGAGACTCATCCCATTTGCTTGGCCATGGCTTCTTGACATGTAAGCAAATTTTCGAACTCAACAAGCGATGGTTGTGTCGGCCATCCCTGTACAACGGTAACAAACCCTCGATATTCGGGTCTCAACCCATGGACAATTATTCTTTTTATCCTGGATTCCCCAATAGCAGCTGTCAGATCTAATTATGAAATTTCGCAGCATATCGTCTTCACCTTGTGAAAGTATTGGGCAACCTCCATGTCGCGTTGCGCCATTGATAGAAGTTCATTCTCAAGAAGTTACAATTTTGTATCGTTCTTCTTCGAAAAGAGTATAACAAAAGTGTCTCATGCTTCCTTTGGTGTTTTAGCATCCCGAATGTGCTCCAACATTTCTTCTTCAATTGTGGTCTTTAAAGCAAACATTGTTTTGCTTGCTTTAATTTTCCACTTTCGCAAGATGCCATTGGCATCTTCTGCCGCCGGTTGTGTAACTTCACCACCACCGACAACCTCCCAAAGGTCTTGACCTTGTAAGTATTACTTCATACATGTTGCCCACGTGTTGTAGTTTTTGTTGTTGAGCTTCTTGATTCCTCCAACTACTTGAAGATCACCATCTTAACGGAAATGCTTTGACTATACCGAACAAGCTTGAGTAACAAACGTGCAGAGTACTAAATTACTCTAAACACAAAGAAGCTCCACAAGGTTTGTAATAACCCCGACAATAATCTTAAGAAATCTTTTCTGATGTGGATGATCAGTTAACAACTGCAGCAACAAAGCATACTCGGAATTTCAAGAGACTTTAAAAACGTGGCTTGGATACCAATTGTTGAATCAAAATAGAGTAAAAACTCTAATTGATCGAGAAGAAAAAAAAACTCTCTTTAGAATAATCTCACAAAATTGCAAAAGGGAAGAACTTTTAAGAAAGCTTTCAAATGCTTATAATTAAGCTTTGATTGTTGGATGATAAAACTCAAATACAAGTAGGGTATTTATAGGTTACAAGAAACAATCTAAACCACTCATTAAAATAAGCACTAAATAATCTAAACCATTGAAATTAAAACATGAGAAAAATATTTAATTTTCACCTAACTAAATTGATGTAAGAAATGACATCAAAACTAAATTGATGTAAGCAATGACATCAAATTAATTTAGGTGTGAACTTATTTAGGTTAATATTGAATTTTCAACAGCACCCTTCTGATGCAGTTATATGTAAAGGAGTGTCGATAAACTCCACCTCTTCCAAGCGCCTCAAAACATTCCTATTTCTCTGAATTAATGTTTACAAGTCACTAACATTTCCTTGACGAGCAGCTGTTCTCAAGCTTTCATCCATGTCGAGTGGAAGGACAATGATAAAAGGTCTTGATTTAATCCACTTTCGAGCAACTAATTGAAAACTTAGAGACTTTGTTCAGTCGATTGCAGTCAAACAAACAATAAAAAGACGGAAAAGTCGGACAAAGTACATGTTTTTGGTCTTGTTTTTCGAGGTTTCGCCTTTAATAGAAGATTAAATATATCTTTTTCTATTGAGAATGGCTGAAAAATGCTTTCTTGCACTGATTTTAGTTGGCTAAATTTGTTTTTATCCAAATTGAAATGTACGCCTTTTATATGTTCATAGACAAAAGTTTAAACAAATGGCAACCATCATTGATAGAATCTCAAAACAATGATGATGAATCTTTATTAAGGATGAAACAGAATGGTGTATCACAAACAAGAAAATAGACTGACCAAGACCAAACTACATCTATTCTTTCCATGACAATACAAACTACTTCATAAACTAACATTCATCTTGCATCTTCACTCTTAATCTTAACGCTCATTTTCTCATCTGCATGCTCTTTCTATCTTGATCATAAACTACTTCAACACATCACAAAATATTAACAAGAGAATTATGAGAACCAGAGTTTAAAACAACAAACTTTCCTCGATAACGATGAAATGATGGTGCTGATAATGGCTTAATCATCATGTCAGTCACTTGTTCATGTGCAGGAACTTCGTTTACCAGAAGTTTCCTGTTACTACTCGTACAAAAAAACAAATCTAACTCCACATGCTTAAACTTTGAATACATAATGGAATTGACGGAAACAACTACGGATTGGGCCACAACTTCTTGTTTCTTTGAACCCCATGATACTGAATTTCCCGTAAAATATATACAAATACCAGTGGCTCGTGTTACCTAACACACCTTATTAACTGTAAACGTAATCTCTGGCCTCGTGATGACTATATACTGTAAAACCCCAACAACACTTCTATACTCTGTCATATTTTCATTTGGACTCCTCATATGTTAAAAATTCCTTAAGTTTTTGAAATCAGGCTCGAGGTGTCTGTTTTATCCCGTAAATAGCTTTTTTTAGTTTACAAACTAGTCGTTAATCCTTATCCCCTGCTCATAATCTGGAGGTTGGGTCATGTATACTTTTTTCACCATTTAGAATGCATTATTAATGTTGATTTGTCTTAAAACCCATCCTTTTGTCACATCAAGAGAAATTATTCGAATAGTGGCAGGATTAACAGAAGGACTGTTGACAAAAACGGGTAAAGAAAACAAAAGAACACGAGAATTTTACGAGGTTCGGCAATGTGCTTACGTCCTCGGTGCCTAGGCGGCGCTAGAAGTTTTATTCAATGATATTTTAGGTCTAGGTTACATCTCTATTTATAATAGAAAACCCTGGTACATAATTACAAAATCAACCCTGTATCGTACCGGGGCGCAGCCCCCACACCCCCAACCCACATAATTCATAACCCCACAACGAGACTGGTATATTTATGAGCCATACCTAACAAATCTCCACCTTGGCGAATATCTACCCCTTGGAAACTTCAATGTGGGTTGGGTTACCTTGCTTCTTTAACAACTCGAAACATTCAACAAGTCCAAGCAATGCTTGAACTTGTCTGTCGTAACTGGCTTGGTGAACATATCAGCGGCATTCTCATCAGTATGTACCTTCTGAAACAAAACCTCTCCAGATGCAACCAACTCTCTGATCTTGTGGAACCTTACATCAATATGTTTAGTTCTAGCACGATACACCTGATTCTTAGCCAAGTGAATAGCACTTTGATTATCACAAAGCAACTGAACTCCACCTTGTTGAACACCCAACTCCTTCACTAAACCAGTAAGCCATAAAGCTTCTTTTGCAGCTTCAGTTGTAGATATAGCCACAACAAATTGAACAGTAGACTTCCAACAAATAGGCCCTCCACCAAGAGTAAAGACATACCCTGTCGTAGATCTTCTATTATCCAAGTCACCTGCATAGTCTGAATCCACATATCCTACAACCAAAGGATTATCCCGTTGACTCCCAAAAACAATTCCATGTCCCACAGTACCCTTTAAGTATCGAAAGATCCACTTGACTGCTTCCCAATGTTGCTTACCAGGTTTAGACATGTACTTACAAACTTGACTAACAAAATGAGCTAAATCAGGACGAGTACATACCATCGCATACATCAAGCAGCCAACAGCATTAGAATACGGAACCTTTTCCATATCTTCAGCTTTCTTATCTGTCTTAGGGCACTGTTCTGATGAGAGCTTAAAGTGATTCGCCAATGGAGTGCTAACTGGTTTCGCGCTGCTCATCGCAAACCTTTATAGCATTTTCTCAACATAACCCCGTTGAGATAGCCGCAGTTTCCTTGAGTCTCTGTCCCTGCAAATTTCCATTCCAAGAATTTTCTTTGCAGCACCTAAATCTTTCATATCAAATTCCTGACTCAATAAAGTTTTCAAACCGATAACATCATCCATGTTCTTCGCAGCAATCAACATATCATCAACATACAGTAATAGAAAAATAAAAGAACCATCATCAAGGCTCTTAACATAGACACAACAATCATGCTCACATCGGTTGTAGCCAATCTTGATCATATAGGAGTCAAACCGTTTATACCACTGTCTCGGAGACTGTTTCAACCCGTACAAAGATTTCTTCAATCTGCAAACTAAATGCTCGTTTCTAGGTTGAGTGAAACCTTCAGGTTGCCGCATGTAGATCTGCTCCTCTAAATCACCATGTAAAAAAGCAGTTTTAACATCCATCTGCTCTAAATGCAAATCCCAACTAGCCACCAATGCAAGTACTGCTCGGATTGAAGTGTGCCTGACCACAGGAGAAAAGATTTCATCATAATCAACTCCTTTCTGCTGTGAAAAACCCTTTGCTACCAAACGAGCCTTGAACTTCTCCCCCTCTTTTTCTGTTACTGCTGGTTTCTTCTTATACACCCATTTGCAACCAATCGGCTTCTTACCCTCAGGAAGGGGAACTAACTCCCATGTGCGATTGTGATTCAAAGACTCCATCTCCTCAACCATGACTGCCATCCACTTATCGTTTTCCTAACTAGCAACGACATCATGAAAAGTAACCGGATCATCACTGCTAACAATAAGTGCAAAAGATACCAAGTCTTCAAAACCCAATCTGTTCAGAGGCTTTATATTCGTCCGTCTCACCCTGTCTCTGGCAGACTATAATCCTGCAAATCATCCGTAGTGGAACCACCAGAAGTCGGTTGAGAAGTTTCTGGTTTCTCAACTGGAAACTGCTCGAAATCCACCACTGTCGTGTATTGCTTCTGCTGCAACATGGACTGTTCATCAAAAACGACATCTCTATTAATCACAACTTTCTTCGCAACTGGATCCAGAACTTGAATCCTTTGACACCTTTCTTGTAACCCAGAAAAATGCACTCCTTCGATTTTGCATCAAGTTTGGATCTCTCATCAGCAGGTACATGCACATAAGCAGGACAACCAAAAATCCGTAAGTTATCAAAACTAACATCATGATCAGTCCATACCTCTTCTGCAACTTTCCCAGCCAGCGATGCCCTTGGCGATCTGTTGATAAGGTAACACGCCATGTTAACAGCCTCAGCCCAGAAGTGTTTAGGAAGCCCCGCATTCAACCGCAAACATCTGGCTCTTTCATTCAACGACCTGTTCATTCGTTCCGCAACACCATTCTGTTGTGGTGTCTTGCGCACTGTAAAATGCCTCTGAATCCCATGCTCCTTACAGAATTGTAGGAACTGTGAATCCGTGTACTCCGTATCATTGTCAGACCGCAAACACTTGATTTTTCGTCCTGTTTGGTTTTCTACCTCAGCTTTCCACACCTTGAACTTCTCAAAAACTTCAGATTTCTGTTTCAAAAAATACACCCAAACTTTCCGTGAAAAATCATCAATAAAAGTAACATAGTACCTAGATCCACCCAAAGACGATGTCGTGGAAGGCCCCCATACATCAGAATGCACATAATCAAGAATCCCTTGAGTTGTGTGCTTCGCAGTCTTAAAACAAACTTTAGTCTGTTTACCAAGAACACAATACTTGCAAAAATCGAGCTTACAACTTTTGACACCATGCAACAAGTTTCTCTTGTGTAATTCTGCCATACCACGTTCACTAAGATGAGCAAGGCGCATATGCCACAATTTTGTCGTATCATCACAGGACTCAACAGAATGAACTCCATCTGCAACGGTACTCCCTAACAATCTGTAGATATTCCCTGCAGTCATCTTGCCTTTCATCACAGTCAATGCTCCTTTAACAATCCGAATGGTTTCCCTATCCTCGTCAGCCTTAGGGATAAAACCATTCTTATGCAAAGGAAATCAAATTCTTCTTCAAGTCTGGGATATGTCGAACACCACTCAACGTCCGAACGGAGCCATCGTGCATCTTAATTCTGACATCACCAATACCAACAATATTGCAACATCGATCATCACCCAAATAAACCGAACCAGAATTAACTGGCCTGTATGTCGAAAACCATTCCCTATTTGGCGTGATGTGATAAGAACATCCAGAATCAAGAATCCAAGCATCTGTCAATTGTGTCGTTGAAATAGAAAGCATATCACCCTCATTGCAATCAGAATTATCATCCTCAACCACGTTCACAGACTTGGATGAGTCATCACGCTTCTCATCAGTCTGCTTTTTCAACTTCGGACAGTCTCGCTTCATATGTCCCGCCTCCTTGCACTTGTAACAGTGAATCGTCTTCTTATCCCTGGATTTGGATCTGGAATTCCGCTTCCCGGACCCTGCCTTCTCTGGCTTCCGTCCACGATCTCGATTACCCTTGACATATAAGCTATCGGCTTGAGAGCTTTCCCCTGCATTCTGCTTTCGCTGGTTGTGAGCCAACAAGGCTGCAGTAATCTCCTCAACGTTGATAGTCTCTTTCCCATATGTAAGAGTAGTCACCATGTGTTCGTAAGAAGGAGGCAACGAACACAACAGAATCATCGCTCTGTCTTCATCCTCAATTTTCACATCAAGCCGAGCCAGATCATAAACGATTTGATTGAAGACATTCACGTATTGCGCCAAATCGTGATCGTCCTGCATCTTCAGCCCATACAGCCGCTGCTTCAGATACAGTTTTGTTGTTAAGGATTTGGACATAAACTGACTTTCAACTTCCTCCAAATTTCGTCTGGAGACGATAGATGCATGACGTGATACATGACCTCGTCCGCCAAGCATAATCGTATGGTTCCTGCCGCTTGTTGCTGCAATTCTTCCCAATCTTCCTCATCCATCGACGCCGGCTTTGTAGGTCGCAAAGCCTTCAAGATCCCTTGCTGCGCCAATAGATCATTCACCCTCGTTTGCCATAATCCGAAGTTACCCTGACCATCGAATTTCGCGACTTCGAATTTTGCTCCTGACATCTGATACCAATTGTTGACGAAAACGGGTAAAGAAAACAAAAGAACACGAGAATTTTACGAGGTTCGGCAATGTCTTACGTCCTCGGTGCCTAGGCGGCGCTAGAAGTTTTATTCAATGATATTTTAGGTCTAGGTTACATCTCTATTTATAATAGAAAATCCTGGTACATAATTACAAAATCAACCCTGTACCGTACCGCGGGGCGCAGCCCCCGCACCCCCAACCCACATAATTCATAACCCCACAACGAGACTGGTATATTTATGAGCCATACCTAACAAGGACTAAAAATTTCATGAAAGTCAATATCTGCCTCTTGCAAGCTGCCTTTAGCAACAACTCGAGCTTTGTAGCGAGCAATAGATCCGCCAACATTATGCTTTATTTTGAAAATCCATTTACCATTAACAACTTTCCTATATGCTAGCGGAACAAGAGAACATGAATTGTTTTGCATAAGGCATCATATTCATCTTGAGCTGGAGCCTTCTAGTGATCACGCTTTAGTGTTTCTCCAATGGTTTGTGGCTCTTGAATTCTGGACAAAGAGGATGAAGAAGAGGATTTCGTCTATGAGGAAGAAGAGGAGAAATTTCAATATGATAAGATTTTGGCTTACGAATCTCACTTTTACTCCGAGTGTGCATTGGGTGAAAATTAGAGACAACTTGTGGCTGGTCTTGTTGATCAAAGGCCAATTGAGCAGATTCTGGACTGGTGTTATGGAATAAATCTGTCACAGGTTCAGATTTTGGATTTCGCTATGATAGATCACATGAATTTGTCATAGGTTTGTTTATATACCATAGTTGTCTCAGGGTTATGGCAGCCAGCAGTGTGAACAAAAAAAGCCACCTTGGTAAGCTTTGAAAATGACAATAAATTGACAAATTGAAAATACATACAAATCAAGAATCAGTATCCATCATCAACTTGGCTCAATCATCAATTTTACAAATTAATTGTGACGATTATTTTGATACAATTCTCAAACTATTTAGACTTTACAAATCTTTAACTCGAAGGATATTCTATCTTAAAACGTGTTTGAATCCACGTCCTCCTAAAAGTCGTGACAGCATCTATACCGATCAAATTAAAATTAAATTGAAAATCGTTACATCATTTAATACAACGCTTTATGAAAAATCGACATACGTTAAGTAATAGCCAGAATGCTATGAATGCTGTAGGGTAATTCCAGCCATAGCCACTACTATAGCCCACGCTAAAAAATAGACTGTAGCCTACAACTAACAATGTTCCTTTCCAGAATTCATCATATAGGATAAGGAATAACAAGAATCCTTGAATTACACCTGCAACTATTCCTCCGGCAAGTTTCGACACCTTGTACGAGATGCACATGAACACCATGAAAACGAACATTATTGTTGAAAATATATTTAGAATTATAGCTGTTGAGAAGGTTGGAGCTATGATAGATATCGATTGGTCGAAGCAGAGTGCAAGAAACGCGAGTAGTAATTGAAGTGCTGTTCTGATACCACGGGGGAAAGGTCTAAGCAGGGCTAGTGTTAGGAAGAAGGTTGCGATGAAGACGACGTAAGTTAGACTATAGAAAAGAAGGAAATATGATTTATCCATCACTGCTGTTCCTATACTCCCTGGTGATTCCCTTTTTTCGATAAGTGTTGAGCCAGCAGAGCTAGAAGAACAGTCGGCCTGCCAAACACCACCGGGCGGGCTGAAACTTGTTTGGTAGGTAGCAGTCAGCAGGAGTCCTAGAATTACTAGTAAAGCATTGCGGTCCTGCTCTGATATATTCTCCATATCGTGAAAAATTAACGATGATGCTTTTGTAATGTATTTGATGATTTGTTTATCAACATGTTGAGAAAAGTTTGACACTAAAGGAATGAAGAAACCACGTAGAACAGTGATGCTTTCTCTGCTATTATGTCGTTCTGCAACCTCCAGTGCTGTCGAACCATCCTGATTCTTGGCTTGCCTATCTGCTTTGCAGTTTAATAGCAGCTTCACCATCTGTTTATTATAAAAATGGTACAATCAATTAATCATGTATATGAAATACAGAAAAATCAATGTATATTAATCATTAAAGCAGATGAGTCGAACCTCGAGTTGATTATATCTAGCAGCTAAGTGCAGTGCGGTGTTGCCATCTTCGTCCTTCCGGTTCACTGTTTTCGATAATAGTCTTTCTTCCTAAGCATTCCAATTAGTACTTGGAGGACGTCCAATCTTTTGTTTTCCACTGCCATATGCAAAGCAGTGCGGTTTTGATTTGTAACATCTCGGATACAATCAGGGCAAGCCTTCAAAATTTTATCTAACAGATCATCACAGTTTCCAAATTTACTAATGTAGTGCAGAGGAGTCTCACCATTCATCCCTTTGATTTGAGCAAGACCTGTATCGATTTCCAAGAGACGTTGCGCCATCTCCTTGTGCCCTTTCTCGATTGCGAGATGCATGGGGCTCAGACCTTGTTGGTTTAGCTTCCTAGCAAATGATGGCTTTAAGCTCATAATCTCCATCGCAAACCGAATGCGTCCTTCTTCTGCAGCTATGTGTAAAGGAGTTTCGATGAACTCAACCTCGTCGAGGCGCCTCAAAACATTTCCATTTCTGTGAATTAACGTATATAATTCACTAACATTTCCTAGACGAGCAGCTGTTCTCAAACTTTCATCCATGCCAGGAGGAAGAAGCAATTGACAACAGGAGAGACAAAAAGAAAAAAGATTTGGGGCTGTATGGTCTGCCAATTGAAGCCAACAAGGAAACAGTATATAAGGACAAATTAAGTATATGGTTTTGGTCTTTCCTTTTTGTTTTTTTGCAGTAAATAATCGGAAAAATCTATGAAAAACTAAGTTATTCAAACTAGCAGAAAGAGATAGGGTTCCGGAAATTTACAACTTGGAACATGAAAGCTGAACATGTGGCAGCAAACGAAGCACTACCCTCTACCGTCCTTTTATACCCACAGCAGTCTCGGTCAAAGTATAAAAAACCCAAAGCAGTAAAGAACCGTTCCATCTTCATGAAGATTGACATGTAAATACATTTATAAAATGGGTAAACTACACCATTAGTCATTGAACTTTAGATGATATCTAGTTTTCATCATAAATAAACATTTCGAATTGGTCTATTTTGGTGGCTGGATTATTAAATCATTGATGGTGTGTTTAAGTGATGTTAGAGTTGTGTGACATAAATTCTTTTTTATCAGACTTGAGATGATTTGGAGTAACTCAATTAAATTAGAGGTTAAAATATGGATTTGTAGGTACATAATAGTTTGATTCATTTAAGAGTTTACTTTTTCTTTTTCGTACTAATAAAGAGTAGAAAACTCAGTTTGACTATAATTTTTTTTATACAAGTGTCCTTTGTAAACAAGAAACATATATACATAAATAGATACTAAGGATTAGAGTTTAGAAGTAAGTTAATAACCTTAAATCGTCCAGAATGATTGATTAGGCCTAAATATGCTAATGTGATTAAAATACCCTCGAGCGTTGTAAATTACCAAAACAATTCTAAGGAGGATAAAATTATAAAAATACCCTTATTTGTGTATTTGGTTAAACTTTATTGGTACTGCATTATTTTGATTTACATCAAACTGTCACAAAGCTCCAATGTTTATATAAATATTTTATACTTGTTATGAATTTCATATTTTGGTATACCAAGGTTGTGATTTGAACTGTAATAAAAAATATTTTTAATTTATTGGTCGGTTCAGTGACCTAATATGACATCTTAAGTCCATCATATAATGGATCAGGATTCAAGTTTGAGGCGTTACACTTCTTGTACTCTTTCTTAACATTGTGGATTTTATCCTTTTATGCTCATGATATTTTTATCAAGAAAGTTTTTCATGTTGATCTTGATGTATTTTATTATACAATTATTTTACATTCGTTATTATTGAGCCTACATTATTACACGTGATATTTTTTATTTTTTTAAAAAAATTATGAACTTCTTCAATTATCATTACCGGTCAATTATCACCTATTATTGTTGTCCGTCACGACAAAATCAATATCAAAATATTTATCGAGAGGAATAATCAATTGAAAATAGGATGACAAAGATTGGAAAGGTTGAAGGCCACCAGTACCAGCAGCTGTTCTCAAACCTTCATCCATGTAAGATGGGAGGACAATCGTGAGAGAAAACTGGAAGGGCTAGGCCTAAGGCCACTTAGGGCAATTAATTGAAGGATTAGAGATTTAGGTAGCGTTTGGTTCGTTTGAATGTTTCTGAGGGAATTAGAATCTGTGAAGAATTGAAATCTGTCAGGAATTGGAATCCAATTTCATATTCTGTTTGGTTGGCAAGAAATGGAATTGGAATCCAATTTCATATTATGTTTGGTTCGCAGACATGTTAGATGAATTGCATTTTAATAATGTAAAATGACAGAATTGTCCTTATTTTTTTTACTTTATTTTAGTTTGTTTTACAACTTACATGTAGTAATATATTATAAAAAAAATTAAATTTTCATTTTATTGATTGATTATTCATTTCAATAAATTATAGAAATCATGCTAATAAACATCATAAGTTAAAATCATCGCAATCAAAATATGTTAATAAGTTACCAAAAGATAGAGCAATATTTGATACATTCCAATCGGAGTATGTTAATTAGTTACCAAAAAATATACCAAAAACTATTTTTATTCAATATATGAATTAGAAACTCGGCCCGACACGACACAAAATAATAAAAAATTATTTTTATTCAATAAAAACATTGACTTAATTGAAAAAAATTATATACAGAGGGGTATTATTGTAATTATTCTTAAATATGTAAGGTAAAAGTATATATTTTTTAGGGTCGGGTCCAATTTTTTCACCCTAAACCCGAACCCGACCCGAATATCACACTTAAAAAAACCCGACCCGAATATCACACTTAAAAAAACCGACCCGACTCGACTTGAATATCATACTTAAAAAACCCTACCCGACCCGAACAAAATAAAGTTTCACCCGACCCGAATATATGAATTAGAAATCCGATCCGACCCGACCCGAAATAATACAAAAATTATTTTTATTCAATAAAAACATTGACTTAATTGAAAAAAATTATATATAGAGGGGTATTATTGTAATTATTCCTAAATATATAAGGTAAAATTATATATATTTTCGTGTCCGATATTTTTCACCCTAAACCCGAACTCGACCCGATCCGAATATCACACTTTAAAAAACTGACCCGACCGACTAAAATAAAGTTTCACCCGACCCGACCCGAATATATGAATTAGAAACCCGACCCGAAATAATAAAAAAAATTATTCAATATATGAATAAGTTACCAAAAGATTGATGAGGGTAGTATGGTCAAATTTAAATTCCCTCCAACAAGGGAATTGAATTCCATCCATTATTGATGTAATTCACTTTTCCTCATTTGATGGAAAGTTGAAGCCACGAGAGATTTCAATTTCTTGGAAAACTTGAACCAAACATAGAAATGGTGGAATTGGATTCTGATTCCCACCAATTCCAAGGGATTTCAACGAACAAAACGCCACCTTAGATTAGTGGATTGAAGTCAACAAACGATAAAAAGATAGAAGAGTCTTTGGTCTTGTTTTTCGAGGTAATTTCGCCTTGAAGAGAATTAAATATATCTTTGAAAATATAACTCCCTTAAACACTTCATAAAAACATTTATTATTATCCTAATTCTATTTAATATATTAAATTAATTTTATTTCATTCATTAAATGAATAGATTAGGGTAAATTACATAAATAGTCCCCCAACCATAGGGTGTTACTGTGTTGAATCCCTTGACTATTGAAAGTTACAAAATGATCCCTTAACTATAAGTTGTTGCTTTGTTGAGTCATTGACTATTAAAAGTTACAAAAATAATCACATGACTATTTATATGTTCCAAACTCTTCATTTTTTGTTAAAAAATCGTCGGTCGTTTGAGCTAGAAGTTAACATGCTCATTGGCTATAATAAAATTTGATATTAGAACTATTTAGGTTGTATTTGTAGATCGAGTTTTTGTTTACATTATATAATCGATTTAGTGTTTGAAAGTAATAGCAGTGCTAGTAGATATTATTAAAATATAATTTATAATATCACAGTCAACAAGTTAACATCGAGTTCATATGGTCATCAATTTTTAACGGAAAATAACGATTTAGAACATATAAATAGTCGGATGATCATTTTGTAACTTTTAATAGCCGAGGGACTCAACAAAGTATCACCTTTTAATTAGGGGATCATTTTATAACTTTTAATAATCGGTGACTTAACAAAACAGTGTTCTATAGTAGATAGACCATTGACAAAATAAAAAATGAATAGTTGAGGTGATTATAATACAATATCTATTCAAATCTTTTTTAACTATTGTCAATACATACTTACTTTACAAAGATAGGTGTTCGAATATAAAATCTCTACGAAGATTAACATTCTCTTTTATTACCATGATTGTTTAATAAATTTAAAATAACTCGATATTTAAGACATAAAAATTAAATTTAATATTTTGGACCGTTTAACTTTTATGTCATGGTCTCATTATCAAGTGAACATGCTGGGAAACCAGCAATCCCCTATGTCGAAATGACATATACGGAAGACGGACCACTTCAATAAGACCCATTATCAGAAGAGAAAATAATCTTAGTGACCGAAAATGCCTTGTAATATACGATTTTGACCAACTTTTTTTTGGATTTGCCAAAATGACCAAGTAAATCGCAATGCGATCGATAATTCGCAACGCGATCTCCGGTATCGCAAATCAGTTTCCAGATTCGCAACGCGATAGTCGAAGTTCGCGTTGCGATTCATTCCAATTCGTTGCGATAGGCGAAGTTCGCGTTGCGATTCATTCCAAATCGTTGCGATAGTCGAAGTTCGCGTTGCGATTCATTCCAAATCGTTGCGATAGGCGAAGTTCGCGTTGCGATTCATTCCAATTCGTTGCGATAGGCGAAGTTCGCGTTGCGATTCATTCCAATTCGTTGCGATAGGCGAAGTTCGCGTTGCGATTCATTCCAATTCGTTGCGATAGGCGAAGTTCGCGTTGCGATTCATTCCAAATTCGTTGCGATAGGCGAAGTTCGCGTTGCGATTCATTCCAAATTCGTTGCGATAGTCCAAATATTGCATTTGTTTCTTAAGAATTTTCTCTAAAAAGATAGAATTCGCGCGGACGTGTCGAAGACACGTATTACCACGACCATGACCCGACCCGAGACGGGACGGCGGTGGCGGCACGCGAGAGTCCCCCTTGTTCTCTATCACTCAACAAGGAAGTGGAAAAGCCAAGCCTTAAATACCATTCCCAATAGTGTTTCCAATACTATGTGGGATTGAGCATTACCAACACTTGTTTCCAATACCATTACCTTCATTTTCTGTAAGAGTTTAATTTTGAAACTAAAAAAATATTTATTCGAATAAATAACTTACCCTTTGAGGACTTTGATGAAAGAAAAATATTAACCAAACAAATGCAAATGAGACAATGATGGAAGTTTTCAACTGCAAAGGAGACAATGATGGAAGTTTTCAACTGAGGATGCTACGAAAACTAGCTAATAATGACACAAAGGAAATATATCGAGTTGTTTGGTCATCATCTACTCTTTGCAAGTAAGTCATTTGAACACTATAAGAACCCGAATCAGAGTTAGTTTTAACAATTACTTCATTTATGATCAAAGTCCTCAAAGGGTAAGTTATTTATTCGAATAAATATTTTTTTAGTTTCAAAATTAAACTCTTACAACCATGAAGGTAATGGTATTGGAAACAAGTGTTGGTAATGCTCAATCCACTTCCTTGTTGAGTGATAGAGAACAAGGGGGACTCTCGCCGCCGCCGCCGCCGTCCCGTCTCGGGTCAGGTCAGGTCGGGTCGTGGTCGTGGTAATACGTGTCTTCGACACGTACGCACGAATTCTATCTTTTTAGAGAAAATTCTTAAGAAACAAATGCAATATTTGGACTATCGCAACGAATTTGGAATGAATCGCAACGCGAACTTCGCCTATCGCAACGAATTTGGAATGAATCGCAACGCGAACTTCGCCTGTCGCAACGAATTGGAATGAATCGCAACGCGAACTTCGCCTATCGCAACGAATTGGAATGAATCGCAACGCGAACTTCGCCTATCGCAACGATTTGGAATGAATCGCAACGCGAACTTCGCCTATCGCAACAATTTGGAATGAATCGCAACGCAAACTTCGACTATCTCAACGAATTTGAAATGAATCGCAACGCGAACTTCGACTATTGCGTTGCGAATCTGGAAACTGATTTGCGATACAGGAGATCGCGTTGCTAATTATCGATCGCATTGCGATTTACTTGGTTATTTTGGCAAATCCAAAAAAAATTAGTCAAAATCGTATATTACAATGCATTTTCAGTCATTGAGGTTATTTTCTCTTATCAGAAAATGATCTGTAAGGAAAAGGCTGGTCAGAAATAACACAGTAATTTTTACATAAAACCCAATTTTTAATATTGGAAAATTCTTTACACACAGTCAAAGTTCCGAGAATATTCGAATTCAACATTTTTTTTGTTTTCAATATAATATTTAAGTTATTCAAATATCCTTTCATTTATAAATTGATGAATAATATATATATTTAAACGCGTCTGACTCAGTTCTTTCATATTGTGTCAAGCATATCAACAAAGTTAAGAATTAGTGAATTAAAAAATATTTTTCATTACTTGTCTCTAATATTTTGTTATTTATATATTTATTATTAATATTATCATTATTCGAAAAATTAATATTTGATGTTTATGGTATCTAGTTCTATAAATTTATGTATTTTATTAAATATTAATTATTCATCCATAATGTATACATTTGTATACTTTTCATGTACCTATGAAATGAAATTCAAATGAATTTTTAGAAAATAATAAACATATACAATGAATGAAGACAAAATTGACGACTTTTCTTAATAGTCGACAAAACTGTTGACTTTTGTACAATACAACATTTGATATTTTTGTCTCTAAGGAACTTGGAAGTCTAATTTCTTGAATGTCTAGAGAAAAAAGTAGGATTAAAAATATTCAAATATATGAATTTCACATTGATAAGGATTTTAATAAAATAATCAACTAAAACGAATATCGATATTTAATTTTAAAATTAAAATTAATTAAGTTTGAGTATTTAATATCTTGAATAATAGCCTATTTATGTTGAAAATTGAAATAGTTAGAGTGTATGGTAAATTTTGTGGTTCTCTAGAGCCCTATGGTTGGATTTGGCAATCAATGTTGAGGAGGTTTTGGACAAAATTAGGTCAAATAGATGTAGAAAAAAACAAAACAGAGACTTGGGATGGTATTAGATTAATTAAGGAAATAAGGATGCTTTTATATTAATTGGTAAAATCGTGGACTATAGGTGAGGACGATTTTGACAAAGTCATTGGCAAATGAATTTGATATGTATTTTTTTTTCGTTTGATATCAAACTGTAAAGAAATAAAAATAAATGAATAAAATTTGATTTTTTTTCCCCATAAATTGACATTAGATGAATTTTGGACGTTTTCTTAAATTCGAAATTACAATTTATTATATAATTTTTTATATAAACTAAACCCTAAAACTAAAATGGTTCCTTTCCAAAATTCATCATATAGGAAAAGGAACAACAACAATCCTCTAGTCAGGGCTAAACTCAAATTTCCACCTGCCAAGTAAACTAAAAACGAAGGCAATTGGCTATCGTCAACAAATGAAGGGAATATCCAAAATATCAGAATTGAAACGCTCAGTTTTGACACCTTATGGGTGATACACATGAACACCATTAAAGGGAAAACGGTTGTAGAAAATATATTGAGAAACCTATATGCTGAACCGTAGGCGGTGGGGGCTATAAAAGATACTGACTGATCGAAGCACACTGCAAGAAACGAAAGCAGGGCTTGAAGCACTGTTCTAAAACCTTGGGGAAATGGTTCAAGCAGGCCCAGAGTTAGGAAAAAGGTTACGATGAAGACAATATAGGCTGGAATATAGGAATAAAGAACACTGCTTTGATCCATGTTTGATGTCCCTGGTAACTTATGTTCATTGTTCACAGTGGAGTTGTCGTATGAAGCATCGTCGCCCTGCTAAATACCACCAGGCGGGCTAAGAGCGGATTGGTAGGTTGCAGTTAGAAGCAGTCCTAGAATTACTAGTAAGGCATTACGGTCATCGCCTGATATATTATACATATCCTGAAAATTAGCGATGATGCTTTTGTTGCGTACTTGACGATTCGTTCTTGTATTTCAAGTTGGAAACTCTCAGAATGAAGTATGCATCACAAGGCTCACATCAAAGGGAGATAGACTAGCACTTCCAATTGATCCACACGAACAAGCCTTGGAAAAGAAGAATAGCAAAATAGCAGACTTATGATTGCTTTTGAACGGGATCCTGATCTTATTCGGTCAACATTTTTTTCTAAAGATATGACCGGTTGTCTCTTAGCTTTCCAACAATTTTTGAATCACATCAATATGATATCGAAGAAAACTCAAGATATGTTCATTTTACTGAAGACAACGCATGCAGAAATTTTTATACGGGATTAATACGAGATTTTATAAATATTACAAATTTTTTATATTTTTATTGATTATTTGTGAATATATGGTGATGCATTATATTTTATGATTAGATTTATTATTTTATTATGAATTAAGATTGAGTTAAAACATTATTTTTAGTTTATTATTATTATATTAGGAATTAGGATATATCGAAACATTATTTTTATTCATTAGTCATGTTACAACAAAGGCTCCTTACCCTATATAAAGGAGGTTCTTTCAACTTTGAAATGGCAAATTTCTTTGATTAATAATACAAGGAGAGTTCGTTTTTGCAAGTGTTAATTATTTTGTGCCTTTGAAGCTTCTTTTTAATTAGGTTCTTTCAAGTTCTTTGTGATAGAGACCTTCACACTCCGATTTGCCTTCTCATTACAATTAGGAGGGCTGATCAGAGCTGATTATCGAGTTTGCATGGTTAATTGCAGCTAGGAGGATTCATAGGACAACTATCTATCAGTCATCATCATCATCACTGACGATTCCCTATCAGAATAGTAATGTTTTCTCTATTATTACTTTGATGTGCTACATCTGTCAAACCAGCTTGATTGGTTATATATTTATCAGCTTTGTGTTCTAGTAGCCACCTGAGCATTTGTTTAACACAATCGGTTAACCACAAAATTGAAAAGAATCCATGAAATATTTAGTATTAGAATGGAATGAGCTGATTGAACCAGAGATTGATTCTTGGTAGCGGCTATGTGGAGTGCCGTGTTGCCATCATCGTCCTGTCTGTTCACCACTTCTTCATAATAGTCCTTCTTTCCAAGTGATCGGAGTAGGACTTCTAGAACGTCTGGTCTATTAATTTCTACTGCGTTATGCAAAGCAGTGCGATTCTGAACGGTAACATCTCCGATACATTGGGAAAAGCCTTAATAAATCTATCCAACAGACGGTGTTGGTTTCAAGTTTACACAGGTAGTGAAAAGGGGTCTCGCCATTCTTTCCTCTGACACGAACAACATCTTTATCAACTTCAAGAAGACGTAGTGCCATCTCTTGTTGCCCTTTTTCGACCGCAATGTGCATGGGGCTCAAGCCTCGGTGGTTTAGCTTCTAGCGAAGAATTGCTTCAAGCTCATGATCTCCATTGCAAACCCCATGCACCCTCTTTCTGCAGCTATGTGTAACGGAGTCTCGATGAACTCGACCTTATCGAGCCACCTCAAAACGTTTCCATCTCTCTCGATTAATTCATACAATTGGCTAACGTTGCCCGACTCAGCAGCTGTTTTCAAATTTGGATCCGTGTGAGGAGGTAAAGAGGAAACTACAAGAAGGGATGAAAATTGAAAGGGTTCAAGGCCACTTGTGTGAGGAAGAAGGAGGAGAATTGTTTGCTTTATATTGGTTTCAGTCATATTCAAAGGTGCTTGTCTTGATTTATACTAGAAGGGATGCTACACATTTTGTGTAACACGTCGGAATATTAAGGTCCGACCCAAAGCTCATGAGACATAAATAAAGAAAAAGCAAAGTAGTTGTCAATTCAATTTAAATCTCGATATAATGAATAAAACAAACTAATTTAAGAAGATTGTCCACTACACAATTTTACAACATACAATTTTAATTTTAATTGTTCAATAAATTAAATATTAATAATTAAACAGAAAAATACATGATTTAAACTATATAATTTTAAAAAATCATATAGAAAAACATAAAATTTAAAATCATATAATACATATTCACACATAAATTTTTTAAAAATAAATTACATAATCCAAATATAAAATCTAAAAATCTAAAAATATAATTAAAGAAATACAACTAGATTTAGAATATTTTGAGTTTAAAAGAAATAATCTAGAATGTTAGGGTGAAATAATTTAAGAAATTAGAAATTTAGAATGTTAAGGTAAAATAATTTAAGAAATTAAGAATTTAGAAGGTTAAGATAAAATAATTTGAGATTCATGAATAAAAAAATAAAATATAAATAAAAAAATAAAGAACCAGGTAGTTGGCTACCTAGTTAAGCGGAATTTTGTGATCCGGACTCAATTGAAAACCCCATAAAAAACTGGGTTAGGTATCCGACCCACAAATTCAGTTATTTTTATTATAAATATATGGTAATTTTTAATCGGATTGATAGATCGGACATTTTTGAACACCCTACCTACAATCTCCAACACCCAAAGGAAGCTTGTACTGATCACAACATATCCGGTCTTAAACCCATTAGGATTATCCCCCTGAGTTAGAACCTAAAGACATTTCGAACGTATGAGTCATCAAAGGTAAACATTTCCTCCACCGGAAGAGGATAAAGTAGCCGAAAAGAATCCATCATGAAGCTTCAGCAACTGATCCGGAGCTACTCCATAAGTGTTTAGCACATATTTCAAAAAATTGTGCGTCCAAAGATGGAATCTAGCCTTTCAAGTGAATAGAAGAAGATAAAACCACACCCGATATCCGCCAAAGACTTCAGTACAATCACTCATATATAACACGACCCGGAGGGGATGTCAAACTCAAAATTCTCTCATAGTAAACCACGAGTGAACAAAAGATTCATGGTCTCATTCTAGATAGTCTTGCACACAAAGGTATCACCATCCACAAGAGACGGTCGGTTCGCCTCAATCTTGTTTTCCAAACTCTTTACTGCCTTCGCGGTACTCTTCGTCATCTTTGCAACAAGAAAGCTCAAAAAAATAAGGATATATATTTCACATAGAATTAGACAAGCCAAAAATCAAGCACAAAAGAAAATTAGGGATTTCATCCTAATTTTCTTAAATAGTTGAAGAGCATAATATCTCTCTAACAGTCGAAATATCATCCTCTTAATTACAACAACCGTAGAGGGAGGCACGAGTAACCACCCAACCATTCAAAAAAAATAATAATCACATCGATTTTTCAAAAATGGTTCATTTAATGCAAAGACATGCCTTCATACACAAGTATCAAGTCAAATCACTTTATGGTATTTTCTCGATTAAGGAAGAGACAAATGTTGTACCTCATCTGAATCTCCTTTGCGAGACTCGTCTCCACTGCTATTTCTCCACCTACCAAAACCTCTAGAAGACCTCTCTGTTAGTTGAAGCTCCCAGAGGAACATCTCTGGATATTGAGGTCTTAGGATCTCACATCTCTTAAGAAGCTGCAGACCCTTAGATATGACCTTTGATATTGAGGTCTTATCATAAAATGTTTTAGGGACCTCATTTTAAAATGTAGCACATAGCCTTCAAATCTGTTGGGATAGGCCGGACTGAAGTGAATTGTTTTTGTTGACATAACAGTCACGTGATATCTACATTATTTTTTCTTTTTTGATTTTACATTCTTTCCCGTAAAGATGAAAAAATTACAATTTTATTCATGTGCCATGTTGATACCAAAATTATCATTCTTTGACTTCTCTAACCATTCAATAAGTCGACGAACTCATCTCATTATCTCTTATCACTCATTTAGTTTAATTTTTTTAAGATCATTTTAAAGTCGTTAAACCCCAAATTATTTTAATCTACAATATCTATCGTCTGATCAATATGGTCAATATAAAAACATACATTCTCCTCTATCTATTCACTATTGAAATTTAGAAGAAATATTTTGTTGTCTAAAAATCAAAGAAATTTTGAGATCATATATTTTTCATTTGAAAGGAAGAAAATTTTGGGATATTTCATAATATATATATATATATATATATATACTATTTTTTGTAATACACATACAACTACGATTTCAATAATATTTTTAAAAAAGTAAAATTCTTTTGATAATTTTAATTTAAAATTGAGATAATAAAATTTTAAAATTATTTACAAGTTTCATATCTTAAGCTTTATCCAATCCATCAAGATACACCCCGAAACTACAATTCAAAGAATAAACTAAAATTTGAAATCTAATTAACCTAATATCTACTTGTTTTACAATTAAAAATATCAACAAGAATTCAACTAAATCTAAACACATTTAATGAAGAGAAAATAACCTCGGTGACAAAAAATGTCTTATAATATATTTTAACCAATTTTTTTTGGATTTGCCAAAATGACCAACTAAATCGCAATGCGATCGATAATTCGCAACGCGATCTCCGGTATCGCAAATCAGTTTCCAGATTCGCAACGCGAACTTCGACTATCGCATTACGATTTACAAGTTCGCATTGCGATAGTCGAAGTTCGCGTTGCGATTTATTCCAAATTCGTTGCGATAATCCAAGTTCGCGTTGCGATAGTTCGACTATCGCAACGAATTTGGAATAAATCGCAACGCGAACTTCGACTATCGCAACGAACTTGGAATAAATCGCAACGCGAACTTGGACTATCACAACTAATTTGGAAAATCGCAACGCGAACTTCGACTATTGTAACGCGAACTTGGACTATCGCAACGCGAACTTGTAAATCGCATTGCGATAGTCCAAGTTCGCGTTGCGATAGTCGAAGTTTGCGTTGCGAATCTGGAAACTGATTTGCGATACCGGAGATCGCTTTGCGAATTATCGATCGTATTGCGATTTAGTTGGTCATTTTGGCAAATCCAAAAAAAATTAGTTAAAATCGTATATTATAAGATATTTTTTGTCACTGATGTTATTTCTCTTAAAAGAATGAAGGAAAAGAACTCCAAAAATCTCATAAAAAGCAAAATGAAAAAAAAACTTTTGCCGTTAACGAAAACAAAAACTGGAATCGTTAAAAAGCCTCAAAAAAATCGAAAACTTCTTAAATTTTAATTTTGTTTCTTTGCATTGCTTGAATGTAAGCTGGGGTTACTCCAGATTCTCTTTCTTCCGTCTCCTCCGCCATCGTTGACCTGGTTTCCATTTTTACTTCAAGATAAGCCTAATTCAATGAAAATCTCAGACCTTTAATTTACTTGGAGAGGGGAAAAGTCTGATTTTTTGGTCTCTGAAATTAGCAGATCTCCTCGAAGTTTATGCTAAATTTGGAGTAACGATACTTAGGGTTAGGGTTTTGGTTTTCTTTCAAGATGCTGATATCAAGAGGTTTATTCGGGTGGTCGCCACCCACATACAGCCGTTGACACCAGTATCGGAGTTTTCGGAGCCGCCGGAATCGCCTTCTCCGTACTTGGATCCAAGTGCGGAATCAGCAGCTGCGGCGGCGGCGCAGGCGGAGGAGGAAATGGAGGAGGCTGAAGAGCTGGAACAGTCACCTGCTGCTGTTCCTTTCTCGAGGCTCTTCACCTGTGCTGACCAGTTTGATTGGGCTCTCATGTTAATTGGAGCGCTTGCTGCTGCTGCTCATGGGACCGCTCCCGGTTCTTACTTGCATTTCTTTGCGAAGATTGTTCATGTTCTTGAAATTGGGTCGTCAGTTCCGGGACGAGATTTGGATGAGCAATTTGAAAGGTTTACAGAGGTTAGATATTTTAATTTTTAATTCAGGAAGTGAAAAGCCTAAATTCTGGGATTTTAAAGGCTTACCTTAGTGTTTTAGTTGATGAATATAGTTTCAGAACTGTAATTGACTGAGAGGTTTATTTTTATAGTCATATGAACTATTTTAGCTTTCACGTGGATCGGTAGGAAATTTGTGGTGTAAAAAAGCATGAAAGATTTCTATATTCTATGTTATTAATGGTTATTGTTTGTATAGGCTTAGGTATTTCCATAGTAGGATGTTTTTAATTTTTTGGTGGATGGATGGTCTTGAACCTATGTTACATTGACTCATTATTTTTCTTAAAATACCTGTGTCCAGACACCTAAACCTTCAAATATTCGGACATGGGTATAGATACGATCCTCCAAATATGGAAGCCCGTATTAGACACATTCCCATATCCGACACTCCATCCTACACCCGGGTAAGACAGTCCTTACTACTCCCCCATCCCTTTAGGCTGGGGACAAGGTGGTTCGTCCACGTTCTAGATGCAAAGAATCATTATAACAAAAGATTAGCATTGCGGAAACAAAGGAGTGAAGGACGGGTTTCATCTTAGATTCAAGGATTGCATATTTTGGAAAAGTAAAGGGAAGGAAGGGGAATAAAATGGGTAATGAACTGCAGAAAGAA